CTTCCACTTTTTAGTGAACTGGAAATTTGTATTTTTTCAAAAAATTTGCTTTTGTCATTTTTTCACAAAGTCAGCATTTTCCGAAAAAACGACCGGACTTCATGCAAAAAACCGCTAGTCATGCACCTGGATGTGCACCACCTTCATCCCAACTGATGCCCGCCCTTCTGCATGCTAGTAAGGATCAAAAAGCGGCCAATATTAGCCCAAGTGTTAGGCTACAGCGTAGGGATCATTCGTGCTAAAAGCGATCTGCGAGTTTAGTGCAAAAACGCGTGATCGCACCGGTGAGCCTGGTGCGTTCCAGCCTGGGTTCTTTTAAATGTCATTATCTCAATCTTCGGTGATCTTATATCAGATAATTAAACTGCTCAGGTTAGTGTCTGACAGAAGCATATTTCGACAGTCAGCGAACTAAATTATAAAGGACGAGAACAGTTTTTTGGCCGAGAGAGTGACAGCTGTTCTTTCGAGGATGCGAATTCATTATGGAACCTAGGCTGCAATGTACCAGGCTTTGCGGTGCGATCTTGCCTTTTTGCAGCAGACTTGAAGCACTCAGGTCGTTAAATGCATGAGTGGTTGTTGCTTCACACCTACCTTTTGCGTTCGCTAGCGTAAATCATCGTAAATTTTGCATAAAGGAGATGAATAATTTCAGTTTAACGGTTCAACGGGCAGTTTTCTCGCCACAAGTTACGTACGTGATAACCATGCATTCCCGGAGGCTGAGTTGGGAATATTTATGCTGTACTTGAACAGAGAGCATCCCCCTATAATTATATTTCAGCCTCTTTGCTTTTCTGGTACTCATGTAGGTAATTTTTCCGCCAAAAATTTCGCAAGTCCGTACGTGAAAATGATGGACACCTAGAAGCTACATTTGAAATTTTTAGCTCATGCATGCACAGAAAATACCCCTGCAAATTATCAACTCTTTATTTTCTCTAGTTCCCGAAATCACTTCCTCGCCAAAAATTCGCATATTTTTTCGAAACGTCCATATGCGGCATCCGGGCGAAAGTGGATAGTAATATTGAAATGAGAGGGTCACACATGGTGTAGGCATATACATTCGAAGTTTCAGCCTTCTAGCATTTCTGATTCTCGAGTTGAAAGTGGGTGACAGAAGTGCGAACACACACAGCCTCTTGCCATTGTGCGCTTTTGCATTTGCATATGTGCAAAAACGCGTAAAAATGAGCGCTATTATGTTAAAATGTCGTTAAATTTTGGCATTTTTCAGGGTGAAACAGTGCTGACGTATCGTTTGCACGATTGTTCGTGAGGCAACGTAGGCAAGATGATTAAAACATATCAGCCTGAACTGAAGAGATACATGGGTTTGCGAATGGACTTAAAACTGAACGGCAATCGTAGCGTGACAGGCGTTTTATGTGGATTCGACGCCTTCATGAATGTCGTTATCGATGAAGCTGTGGAGAATATGAAGGTTACACTTTCCCCCATACTTTAGTGTTTTTTTTTTGCATTCATAGAGACGTTTTCTGTTTTCTGCGATTTGCTCATGTTTTCCTGAAAAACGGTGAAAAGAGAAAGCAGGAAAACCAAAATCGCAAGTCAGACCAAGTGACTCGCTGGGCCTGGGAAACAGAACCGCTCACCCCACGGCCGTGTGTGGGGAAAGGTCGATCAGCTCTCACTGGTTCTTTGCCTGTAATCCATAATTCCGACTTCTCTGAAAGAGGGAAGCAAGGAAAATTTACCATCTGAAGACTTTAATTTAGTCTCACTTGATATCCGAGGTGCAAATGCTGGATTTTTTAATGAGTTGAAAATGCCTGAAGAACAGCAACCTGGAAATTCTGGAAATTTGTCATTTTCCTTGTGAGAGGCTCACGAAAGCACTCGAAATCAGCTCGGGTAATATCAGTCACTAGAGGTATGAAAATTTCAAAATTTTGCGAATACTTTTTGGGTTAGTGATTAACATTGAACAACACAGCCTCTTTCTGCATGTATTTTAATGAACGCATTTGTGACCCTGTAGAAATTAATAGAAAAAAGATATGATCAATTTAGCCTCCCCTTGCTTATTTTTAATTTAAATTTGTTGGGCTGGGAGTACTATTAGTGGCTTCTCAAGCCTCGTTCAATTTCGTCACGGGGAAAACTGCTTCTACGACACTTTGTATATTTGTTTCGATGTTAAACTGATAGTGTTAGGGGTCAGAATAATGTTGGGGATCAGTTTTAAGTAAAATATTTGGGAAAGAGCAGTTGATCGCTTTACTGGCTGGTGTTTGATATTACTGGGG